CTTGTTTATTTTTCTAAATCAGTACTTGACTTTCTTTCTTGAACAGTTCTTGTGTTTCTTTCTTAATCAGTCCTTGTCTTTCTTTCTTAATCAGCACTTGTTTCTTTTTCTTATCAGTCCTTGTTTCTCCTTCTTAATCAGTTCTTGGCTTTCTTTCTTAATCAGTTCTTGTCTTTCTTTCTTAATCAGTCTTGTATTCCTTTCTGAATCAGTCCTTGTATTTCATTCCTAATCATGCAGTCTTTGTCTTCATTGCTTTATGGGTCCTATTTTGTATATTGTATAGTGTATTCCTTTCTAAGTAAATCTATATTTCTTTTACCTTCTCTTACTATTATATTTGACTGATGAATACATCAAAACAAAACTAACATTGATTCCTGCAATATGTACATTGTACATTATCTCTTTAACCTACTCAATGGTATTTATTTATTTATGATGAATGTATGGATATTATCTACAATATATATCTAGATTATCTACTTTGGTTCACTTCCCTCCGGTAATTCCCNGCAAATAACACTTCTTTTGTGCAAAAGAGAATAAAAAATTATATTTTATAAAACTTACTTTCTTCATGAGATAATCTTTTTAAATCTTTCTTGATCTTCATGAGAAGATTTTCAAAAATACTGGGAATTAATACAGAGGCACCAAATAAGTATGGGACTGAAACCAACACTCATCGTATAGTGTATAATGTAAAAGCTACTAACGTTGAATTTTTAAACCGAGCTAAGAACATTCCCTTGGTTCTAACGGGTATCCATTTAAAGTTTGAGGAAAATCGGTCAAAGGGTCCATGAGTTATGATCGGACATACAAATTAGTAAACAAACAGACAAACAGAGATTACTAATTTATATATATTGATTTCTTTTAACCACCTCAAAAGATATAAAATTTTAAGCAATATGAGAATGATTTCTGAAAAGAAATATTGTCGAATTGCGGAGATGACTAGATATTTTCGATCTTTTGAAGTATTAAGAGGTTGCGAGAGTTTCTAAAGAGAGAGATTTCTAAAAATATAATGATTTTCTAAATTTTTGCCAAGAGAAAATAATTAACAATACAATGTAATTCTAAAATGTTTTAAAAAGCATGTTGATTTCAATTTTTTACATTTTAAATGATAATAATTCATTGACCCCTCTTTGAACCCATTTTCAAACTTGTCTCCAAAATAGATATATCGTCTTTGAAATGGATATTTTATTCCACAAATTTGAATATTTCCTTTGAGTTAAGTTTCTCCGGAATAGGTCGAACAAAAGATGAAACCGTCCGCCGCTATTGTCCAGTATACCCTGAGAAACCTGCTCCGTCCTGTCCTTGTCCGGTCAACTTATCCTATTCACAGTTTACAATAGGAAGATACCGACAATAAAATAAACCTTGCCGACTCTCCCTTTCAAAATCTTGGGATTTTTATGAAGTTAAAGAAACTATTTTGGTTAAAATCAGCTTTTAATTTTTTAGGAGAAATGTTTAACTTTTTAAAGATTTTTGTACATAAAAGTTTAGATATTTTTTTCCGTAAATGTCGCAAAAGCTTTTTTATATAGTTCGAATTTCTTTCAGTTATTTTATTCGAATTTATATGAAACAAGATGTATTTAATACTTAATTTAAAAAACCTTTTCTCATTTGAAATACAAAAGAGCTTTGAAAATACACCATAAACCTAAATTAAGGACATATAAGCTTTTAAACTACATACACGACCCGATCCTCTTTTAAACTACATATAAAAACGATCCGATCTGCATTTAAAAATTTTAAGGAAAAAGGAAACCAACCAATCCATACAGAAAACACTTTTTTACCTAGAGAAATTGATTGATGACCTAATTGTAGAAAGACTGGGCCGCCGGTCAGTCTGACGCAGGACAAGGCGTACATTGTATCCTGGTGCCGGGATACAACAATACGCATTGTATTCCTCAACCCGGGACAATAATGCGTATTGTCATTTGGTCGAGCTGGGAACCAAGCGCAGAGTTTATTTGAGAAACCGCAAATTGTGTTCGGTATCCTTTCTTTCTTTATTCTCCTTTAGTTCTCCTTTAGTTCTCCTTTCTTTCTTTATTCTCCTTTAGTTCTCCTTTCTTTCTTTATTCTCCTTTAGTTCTCCTTTCTTTCTTTATTCTCCTTTAGTTCTCCTTTCTTTCTTTATTCTCCGTTAGTTCTCCTTTCTTTCCTTATTCTCCTGTAGTTCTCCTTTAGTTATGGTTCAATCGAAGCAAATCTGAACGGAGCTAATTTTCAAGAATTATTTCTCTCACCTCTCCATCTTATGTTTAATCTCACAAGGACCCTAAAATTATTGGAAGATAACAGGTTAAAAAAATTACAAACAAACGGAATTTTTTTTATGCGTTTCAACATTTCTTTTTCGTCTTAATCTTGTTTTTTAATATTTAAATTTTTATTCAGTTCTTCACACAAATAAAAAAAATAAAAAAATCTTTGGATAAAAGGAATTGAGTTTTTGCTGCCACAAAGTTAATTTTCTTGAACCCCTATATCTTTGCAACCTCATGGCGTGAACCTTAGATATTTCAACTTAGACTATTTGATCTAAAAGAATTCATAGCCTGAAATATCAAAGGTCTACGACATCTAGTTGAAAAGATATAGGGATGAAAAAATCAGAGTTTGTGGCAAAAACTCAATTCTACAAACATATATATTCTAGAATTCCTTTAACAAACTCAAAAATTATTGTTCTTTACAAATTAAATTTATTTTTATTTTTATCATTATAATTATAAAAACTGCTAAATATGTGGGAGGGGTGTGTGACACTAAATACCAGGGTTCATAAAAATATGGAGGCAGGAGGGGGTGATAGGGTTTAAAGGGGGTGGGGGTGGAAGGAGTATAAACGGTCTCAAGGGGACAATAGAGTTCACTAAGCACGGGGCAGAATAGGCGGGGAGAGGCGGGGCGAATTGTGGGGGGGGGTAGTAAGGATGGTGCTAGGGGACGATCTGAGTTCCAGGGGTTTGTAAATCTTCAGGCGTAAGGGGGGTTAGCTGGGGTTTGGTGGGGGGTAGTTGGAGGAGGGGCAGTGGGCTATGGTTAAGAGTGTTTAAAGTTGGGGTGGGGAGAGGGGAAGGTGCAGGGTTAAATTTAATCTTATAATTATAGAGTACAGGTTGGGTTGGATAGTTTCTCAACATCTGGATTTAAACTCAGAGATGATTTATGTATAATTACTTTAGCCCCAACCACAACCCATACCAATGTGATTAGAAAATAGGTTGGAAAATATCGTTTTGATTGCTCAAATAGATTGTTCACAATCGACTTTTTTGTCAATTTGAGCTTTTCGTTATTTTACTAATTTATTTCTTTTATTACGCATGGAAAAATCTTGGAAAACCAAAACAACATCTATGCTCATTTTAAACTTTTTCACCTAGTTTATAACAACCTTGGTAAAATTATAGGAATCCTCTCACCTAGTTTATAACAACCTTGGTAAAATTATAGGTATCCTCTCACCTAGTTTATAACAACTTTGGTAAAATTATAGGTATCCTCTGACCCATCAATACTACAAGAGCCACTAATATCTAAACTATTTAACCTAATTAATTATCCCTCCAGGTTTTCTGTTTATCTTGTGCTCAGAAAAATTTAATTATATAGTTTTGGAAGTGAGAGTTTATGCAAACTAAATTTTTTAAAATTTCGGTTTTTCTTTTCAATGACTCTCTTATTGCAAAACAATAAATGACAATTACTTTTTGTCATTGTTGAAAAATCTGTAAAAATTATATAATCACGTTAAATTTTTAACTTTTGATGAAATCATTCCTCCCATCGTTTCAAAGAGAAACTTAAGCTTTTTGTTCTTTTTGTCTAAAACAATTTTTTTACTGCATTTGTAGTTATTTGAAACTTTGTTGCATAAACTTTTTAATCAGTAAATATATTAAAAATTAGTCTGGATTATTTTTCTATTTTGCCATGCATGTTGGTAACCACGTTTGAGGACTTTTCTACTCTTCCTCTGATGCACAAAAAACAATTAGTATTTTTCTTCTTATGTTTTTCCATGAAAATGTAATTATTGGCGTAAATTGGAATTAGCAAAAAAATGTGCTTATACATGGTTTTTTTGAGTGGCACTTTAAAAACTAAATATAAATGTTTGTTTAATTTTAGATTTAAATATTTTGTGAGAGGAACGTATTACTCGCAACAAACTCTAACTTTCTTACCTATAATTATATAGCAGGATAAATATGTTATGTAATGAGCCATGGTCAATGTTGTCTATTTGTGCATAATTTTGCATATTTTTTTCTTTTCTTTTTGGAAACCTGTATTTTCAAAAATTTATTCAAACAAATTTAAACTACACCATTTATATATGTATTTATATATTTGTGTGTGAATAAATCTTTATAATAATAATAATATAGTTTAAAATATTAAAGGTGAACGACAAAGATGAGGATGTATGTAGTAAATTACATATTTCCCAAAAATCTTTTCTCTTTGAAAATCACATAAATGCTCTCTTGTTATGGAAAATAAATGCTTTTTGACGATGCAGAATAAAAAGTTTGTTTTCATTGCATCGTATTCTGAAAACTCTCCCTTCTCAAATGTGTTTAATGTCTAGTATTTTGAAAACCATCTGGACTGTTTTTATTCAATATGTAATATATGCGCCTAGATTGCATATTTGATGCACTTGTGGAACCCGTATCTGTAATGTTTGCAAGTATGCAGGTATAGATCTACAGTTTCCCGACCCTCTACAGTATACACCACAAACCATTTATGCATAAATATGCTGGCAGCGTGACAGTCCCAGCATGAGACCCAATAACAGGAATCTAAGTATTCTGGAAACTGTATTGGTACACCATCTAGTGGTGCCGCTAGGAACTAAATCATTCTCAGGCAACCCGGGCGGAGAGAATACCATTGGTCGGAAGGATAGAGTCCTTTTCAACCTAATCTTCCAACTCCTAGCGAGAATCTTACAGTTCAGCCTCAGTTTAACGTCATTTGTCAACTAAACCGTGTCATAAGAATATCTTAGATATATTCTAGAAAAAATCCAAAGTTAGGGTGTTTGCTGGTTCATAAATAATTAAGTAAAATTGTGACTGTTTGTTATGATTGGAGAGTTGGTAGCTAGGTTCAGAGCTCTCTCAGCGGGGCTTCCAACATTCCACAATATTCTCCAGTGGTCAGTTTACCCTTAGTCTTCATTCTGATCATACCCCTGCTGTATTAAGTTCCTAGAGTAAACATGGTTGTGTCAGACCAATTAAAAATCGAACCCTTTTCAAGCTATCAACAGCCCTACTCCGTTCCTGTACCCGGAGCAGGTTATGCTGCCAGAGATCTTCTCTTTCGCTCCGACCCGTCCTACTCCATGTTCTCCTCTAGTTTACATGCTGCAGCTACTGGACATGATCCGTTTAGTTTACACGATATGGGAGCTTCAACTTATAATTACAGTAATATGGGATATGGTTACATGTCTCCATACTACAGATATATGCGCCAGCCGGTCAAACAGGAGATGAACTGTCTTTGGATAGACCAAGAGAAGAAGGAGCGCTGCGGACGGGTTTTCTACTCTCTCCATGATATCGTGAACCATCTGACTGTGGGCCATGTCGGAGGTCCGGAGAACTCTGATCATGCTTGCTACTGGGAGGAATGCTCCAGAGAAAAGAAACCGTTTAAAGCCAAGTATAAACTTGTAAACCATGTTAGAGTTCATACAGGAGAGAAACCCTTTCCTTGTCCTTTCCCTGGATGCGGAAAAGTATTCGCAAGATCTGAGAACTTGAAGATACACAAGAGAATACATACAGGTAATTTAAGAAAGTTAAATTCGAAAAGTTATCTGATTTCAAAATGTTAAAATTTGATATCTTGACTATGTCAGAACTTGTCTGAGAATAAAGATGTCCTTTATTGCGTATTTATACAAGACTTCCACAATCTTTCTATCTGTTTACAACACGCAGGGATTCAATAACAACTTGGCCTAATATCTGGTATCTGTCACACGTTAATTCTTAAACGGGAGGAGGGGGGGGGGGCTTGAATGTAAGAACTTTTAAAAGGTTGGAGACAGCAAATTATTAGAATAAGCGCAAGAAAAGGAAAAGAATAAAATAAAAAATAAAATATATTAGCGAAGTTTAATTTGAAATAAGAATATTAATTTGATATAAAAAATATTATATCATATTTTCAATCAAGGTTTTAGAAAATATAAGGATTAAACTAAAACAAAGGCAAACGATGGAAAAAATAATTGGCTTGATAATTCATATTCCCGCCAATATTATTTAGCGGCAAGCAAGCAAGCAGTGAGGTACAGGACAGGTTATAAATGCAGCGGCATGAAACTGCCTGAAGTATATAAGCTGTATATTAGACCTTTATTCAAATCTTCAATACTTAATTCTTACAATAGATCAGCAATACTAGAGATACCCCTCTCTAATCACATATCCCCCCCCACCCCTATACTTCATCATTTATAGTCATTTTTTTACAATTCTCCTTTTCCTTCGTTTCCCCGCTCTCTTCCATTCTTTGCGATCTCTTCCTCTTTATTTTCCTTTGTTTCCCCGCTCTCTTCCATTCTTTACGATATCTTCCTCTTTATCTTTCTTCGTTTCCCCGCTTTCTTCCATTCTTTACGATATCTTCCTCTTTATTTTCCTTCGTTTCCCCGCTCTCTTCCATTCTTTACGATATCTTCCTCTTTATTTTACTTCGTTTCCCCGCTCTCTTCCATTCTTTACGATCTCTTCCTCTTTATTTTCCTTCGTTTCCCCGCTCTCTTCCATTCTTTACGATCTCTTCCTCTTTATTTTCCATCCTTCCTCAGACAGTTTTAACAAGGCATCCGAAGACAATATAAGTTCCTTGTTCCGAAATTATGGTTGACTTTTTAACCCCCCATCTCCGACCCTAGGTCCCTGCAGTAAGTAATGATGGACCTCTAACCTTACTCATTGTTTTTCAAGCATAAACTTTAATTATACCGTACACAACCTTTTAACATAGCTTAGCTCCCCTCCCCCCTCTCCCATGGTTTAGGTTTAACCATCCTATACTTCTTCCCCCCTTCTCTCCTAGTGTTCCTTCTCTCTTCTCTTCTCCTTCTGTTGTTCCCTGCTTTCATTTCCTTTCTATCTTCTCTTCTTTTCGTCTCCTTCCTTCCCTTCCCTGTCTTCCCTGACATTCTTTCTTCTCCGTTCTAACTGTCCTTTCTTGCACTTATCTCCTTCTCTTCTTTTCTAGCTCAGTTTTCCTCTCTGTATCCTTCCTTTCTCTTCTCTAATCCTTCCATCCCTTCCATCCCTTCCATCCCTTCCATCCCTTCCATCTCTTCTCTATTTTTTCTCTCCTTCTCCTTTACTAATTTTTCCACACCTCCTTATTACTTACTCCCGCTATAACTCTTCTACCGCATTTTTCTTATTTTCTATTCTCTTTTTCCAAATTTTCACCTCTTCTAACCTCTAACCTAACCTTCTGCCTGCATTTCTTTAAAACAATATATAAATATATATCTCCCCCCCCCCTTATATTTTGTTTAGTTAAACTCGTAGTGTTGGAAAGTGTAGGTTCAGGTTTACAATTATAGTATTACATACATTATTCTTTGGCAGTTTGTGACAGTAGTGGGAGACACTGATTGAGGGTTAGTTCGGGTTAATTACGGGGTTTAAAGGGGTCCCCTCCTACCTTCCACCTCCTTGGACCCCCCCCCTCTTTTAACTCTTCCTACCTGTTTAGAATACACATTACTGTGTCCAGTAAAAATACCAAACTCCCCCTCTACCCCCACCCCCCAATTTGACGCAGTGCTTAAGCTTCCCACCCCCCATCCCCTGGATATAGTTTTGATAGGAGAAGGAGGGTGGTAGGGTGATATTGACTCCAGGGGTCCAACCTGGAATTTTCCTATATCTATTTCTTCGTATACGGAGTCACAACCCTCCTCCTCATAACTTGGAACCTTGAATTCCTGAGCAAATGAGTCCGCGTGCCTTAAACCTTGTTTTCTTCATCTAAAGAATGTTGTTCTAGGTTTGAAATGAATCCAACGCTGTTTAATCTCATTAGAAATACATTAAACTTTGATCAATCCTTGATTCATACTTATTTCTCGTTGTTTCAGGCGAGAAACCGTTTGAGTGTGAGATTGAAGGTTGTGACAGAAGATTTGCAAACTCCAGTGATAGAAAGAAACATATGCATGTTCATACCACGGATAAACCCTACTACTGCAGAGTTAAAGGATGTGATAAAACCTACACCCATCCGTCCTCTCTCCGTAAGCATCTAAAGATACATGGAAAAGATGCGGTATCGATGGCGTATGACAGTGATGATTCCCGAGCTACGTCTCCTCCAACCATTCAAAATACTACAATTCCGATCAAGGTTCCGGCTGGACCCTCATCTCTCAGCTCCAACTCTAGTACGGAGTATAAATCGCTTAGTTCTAATCCAAGTTCGGAGTACAAACCTCTCAGTTCTAATCTTAGTGCGGAGTATAAACCTAACAATGACTCCTGGTACACGGAACAGTATTCTCATCCATCCAATCTAACCTCAAACCATCAAACCCAAACCTCCACTCCGTCCACATCCAACACTTACACCCTGCCCTCATCCAATCCTTACTCTTCAAATTTATCCCATCCATCCATCTTTACTCCGAGTTCTCATTCCTCCTTTTCATCCAGTTCTCCGTACTTAGGGAACACACCACTTCATTCCCTCTCACATCATATAGAGTATATCTTACCACATGTACAGTCCTATTAATTATGTACAATTATAATAGTTATGTACATTCTGCACCGTGTGTACATTTTACAGTGTGATATCTTGTCAGTGCAATTCAATTTGCAATATTTTTGTATATTTAAATGTTCAGATCTCAAGCTTTATAAATAAACCATAATGTGCCTTTAACAAATGTGTAATGTCGTCTTCTTTTATTGGAAAATCGGATTGTGAACATAAAGAACTAACAGGATGTATAACTACAGGGTGAGTCAAAAAAAGTGTGACTGGTGCGTCTGGTGCAAAATTGTACCTTTTTTTGTGCAACTCTCCCAAATGGTATTTTTAAAATATTTTTTGCTAATTTGTAACTTTTTTGGTATTCCAATGGCCCACAAAAACTCCAGGAACATTTTTTTCTCTCAAATTAAATCAAAAGTTCAGAAAAGCAAAAATGTGTATACAAATTATTTCTATCGAAATCTAAAATTATAAAAACGATTGAATCACAGAAATTTCGCAGAATTGTAATAAGAAAATTCGCAATTTTTAGTTCTGGTGTAATTTTAAGGAAATGTTATTTAAATTTTCTAGTTCCTTTCTTCTTAGTATATTCTAAAGTATTAAATATGCGCTGTTCAGTTGAAACCTTAAGAACCATTGAAAAAAAAACAAATTTTTCGTAAAAATTAAACCAGAACTGAAAATTGCGAATTTTTTCTTACAATTTTGCGAAATTTCTGTGATTCAATTTTTTAAAAATTTTTGATTTCGATAAAAATAATTAATTTACACAAATACAAATTTTCAAAAAACATTTTGCACCAGGCGCAAATAACACTTCTTTTGACTCACCCTTTATATGTAACTTCCTGTTCAAGCTTAAATCGTATCTTTCTTATTCAAGAGTTAAAAGTATGTTTTCTTTTAAATAGGGATGTATCTTAATAAGGATCAGCCTAGGGGATCTACAGGGTGTCCCACGAAACAGACAGTTGTTGAATAGTTTAGAATGTCTTCTTCAATATATTATATTGGATATTAAAGACTTTTTTTGCATGTCATTTCGTTAAAAACATCTTTTTATCAAATATATTTTACTTTGAAATCAATTTTACAATAATAAAATTGGAATACAATATTTTTTATCATTCTCTTTAATACCAAACAACTTAACTAATTATGGAAACTATTCACCAACTGTCATGTTTCGTGGGACACCCTGTATCTCAACTAAACTTGAATAGGCTCTTCTCACTTAAATGGACTGTAAGTATACCTTTCATTTATAGAGGAGAATTCATAATTCAAAACGGAAACCTTTATACCTTGGTCTGATCAAGGATGACAGAATTTGTCATTATTTATCTACAGAAACGCTGGTAATTGTTGAACACTTTATTTGTAAGCTGTTTTATATTAAAGAAATATTATTATTTACTTTCTAAAAGTGGCAGAATATAATTAATCACATTCGAATTTTTGCAAACCGTGTCGGTGTCTGGGAAGTCTGGGACAGAATTCGAGATTTTCAAAGAATGCATGTGACGTCATCCACGGTAAGTTCAAACAGTACCGTTGTTAATCGGTAAGTACCTCTTTAAATTGAAGGTACCTTGAAATTACGCTTACAGTCCCTTTAAAGTTTGCCTTGAAAGATTGTAAGCATGTTCATTTTGAAGAGACGATGCAAGGTTTTTGAATACATATTGAATAATAAGATATAAGTTTAAAAGGTTAAAAACCAAATTAATTTGGCAGTTATGTTTCCGCCTCCATTTATAATCAGAGCTGGGAACTTTAGAATGGTGGATATCCGGATTAATGCTTGATCCACTCTTTTTCTTAATCTCCAGATTAAATATTGCTTGTTTTCCTCATGAATTTAATATCCAGATTAATTAACAGATCGGGATTAAGGATATCACATTCTAAAGTTTTCAGCTCAGGTTTCTTTAAATACAGTTATTGGAAAACTAATTAAATAGCAATAAAATAGGCAGGAACCGTTTTTAACAGCTCCGGCCATATAATTATTCAATTAAACCAATGGAAAAGAACGCGGGATTCAATGAGAACCCAGAGAGTAGATGACATTCCTTTGTAACGAGCTGCAGATTTGATATTGACCTGCATTTGTGTGTATTTAGATTAGCGGGATTCAATGAAATTTTTGCAAACCAAAACAACACCTTTTTATAAAGGAATTACATTTGAATAACAAAACCAAAAAGTTTTCGACTTTTTATAATCTATAAATAACAAAGAATGCATAATAAATGGACGATTTATAAGACGACATTCATACTTTAAACAACGACCTTGCCGTAGGTTTTCTGTGAAAAAAAAACTAGGATAAAATTATTACTTTTTAATTATCTGCTTTTTTATCATTGACCTTCTAAAGAGCTGCTGAAATCCGGAAGAATGTCCAAATATAGATTTAGTCTTTTGAATGTCCTTGTATACAAAACCTTTGGGAAGATGCCGCTTGAGAAATTGCACATTTGGAAAGTTTCATTTGGGACTAGAAAAGTCGCCCTCGGGAAAACACGACAGTTGAGGGACAATTAGAAGGTCGTCTTCACTCCTTTAGATAATTTGCCGCATTCATTTTTGTTATTCGTATTATGACTCATCGTTTGCATCCTTCCACCCCATTTATGATAGCAGTTGGTACAATTTTATGCCATCATGAAATTAACGGATATTTACCACTTTATTATAATTCTACAGGAAAATAAAAAAAAAACTTTTTGAGATATGTCCATAAACATTGGAGGAGGGGGGGGGGGCAGGTCCCATCCTAAACCTAGAGAAACCTAACCTAGAACGAAAAACATCCTAAACTATAGAAGGAAACATATTCTACGCCCAGAGGAAACCTATTCTAAACCAGGATAAAACCCATTCAATATCTGGAGAACATCCATCCTAATCCGGAAAGAAATCCATCCTAAACCTTGAGGAAACCAATCATAAACCTTGAGAAATCCCATCTAAAACCTGAAGGAATTTCATCCTAAACCGGGAGGAAACCCATTCTAAGCCTGGAGGAAACCAATCCTAAACCTGTAGGAAACCCGTCCTAGCCCTAGAGGAAACCCATCCTAACCCTGAAGGAATTCCATTCTAAACCTGGAGGAAACCAATCCTTTACCTAGAGAAAACCCATCCTAAACCTAAGGAATTCCATCCTAAACCTGAAGGAATTCCATTCTAAACCTGGAGGAAACCAATCCTTAACCTGGAGAAATTCCATCCTAAACTTGGAGGAATCCTATCCTAATCCCGTAGGAAATCCATCCTTAACCTGAAGGAAACCCATCCTAAACCTTAAGAAATTCTATCCTTAACCTGGATGAAACCCATCCTTAACCTGGAGGAAACTCATTCAAAACCCGGAGTAAACCCATCCCTAACCTGAAGAAAACTCATTCTAACCCTGTAGGAAACCCATCCTAATCCTAGAGGAAACCCATTCTGAACCTGGATAAACAATTTTAAGCATGGAGAAACCCCATTCTAAACCTGGAGGAAACCCATCCTTATCTGGAGGAAACCCAATCCTTATCTGGAGGAAACCCATCCTAAACCGGGAGGATTAACCAATGCATCCTAAACCTGGAGAAACCCCATCTATGTGCCCCCCTCCCCACGTACAAAAACTTACAGTTACGGGCTCTGGGGTAAACAAAACTAAATTTTGCGTTCCTGTTTGAATGCTGTACACGAATATCGTCTTAATTATTAAATTATAGAAAATTTTAAAGTTATTGTAAAAATTCGCTAAACTTTTTACTGCTCCAACTTACTCCTTACAATTAAAACATTTTCACAATATACGTAAAAAATATTGTTTATTGGATGTCTAAGATTACTTACTCGAATTCAAGTCAAAACCTAAGACGACATTTGAAACCTTACTACAATGCAAATATTTGTAGGAATTAAAATTTTTAAGTAACTAAAGTCATCAATGGCGTATACGAGGAGGGGGGGCAATAAATACAGCGCCCACTAGATCTGGGAAGAAGACCCACAAATTGAGGTAATTGAAGATAAAAAGACACGATTTAAAATCATTTGTTTTACCAAATACATACTGTCGTCGTAATTTCATTTATTAAGAGGGACAAGTCCGAGTCACATGGTACTATTTAAAGCTTAATCTCATAAATAATGTGATTGATATTGTCGTTTTTCTCACTTGAAAACTGATCTACAGAGAAAATGTGTGAGTAATTTTCGTAGAGAAACCACATAATTGGACATTATCATTCTTTTGGGTTAAACATGGACATGCTGACATCTCATTCAATCTTGATCTGACAAAGCGTTGAAGGGTAACCTTGTGAATCAGACATGCCACGTTAAGAATTAAATATATATTCGTAACAGCAAGAGGCCGGATTTAACACATACTAAACGAGTACTTTAATCGTCCGTACCTAGTTCAACTACTTTTTTACTTTCTACAAATTCGCTGTTTTAAAATTGTGGATATTTTCTTGACAAATCATTCTTCCAAAAATAGTTTACTAGCAAAATAAAAATGTTAAAAACTTTTGTCTCTGAATTGTTGAAAATAAAGGATTTAAAACGCTAAGAGGAAAACTTAAAAATATACACCCCTGATTTTTGACGCAATCTAACTAATCGAAAAAATGCTTCAAATTTAGCGTAATTAACAAAACCAGACCAGTAGAAAAAAAGGACACGATTAAAGTCATAAATTTTAAGCAAATCAATTGAAAGCCAAAAAACATTAAGAACTTAATTCTTCAGTATAAAGAAATGGTTTTTTTCAATAGTTTTTTATTTAAACACAGATATTTTTCTTAGAATACAGTTTTGTATTTAACTTTGATTTCGAATTACAATAACTCTTAAACAATTTAAAGTTCTCTCTATAACTCAAGTAAATGTGACAAAATTAAACAAACTTTTTATATATTTTGACTTATTGATAAATTAACTTTATATTTACAAATTGTACTTTTCAAGATTAGAAACAAATAACTAATTGATATGCTACAACTCAATGTATATATTCAGGTCCCGCATTTTTACAGTAATTTAATCGCAGAGGCAAATTTTGGTCCTTGAGTGATCGTAATCTGGCCGTAAGAATCCGAACCCTGAGAGGCACGAACCGCCATCACCTTCTGGAGAACCAGGACGGAGTAAAACTTCTGAGCAGCCTGCTTTCTCAGGTTCCGGTTCAGCATAGATTTCAAATCTATCTCCTCCTCCCCTGCAAACCTTTTCTCCAGGTTCCGATGCATCTGCGCAGCTCTCTTGTTTAGAATTCGATCCTCAAACTGTTCTATGGTTTCGTCCTCCTGCATCTCAGAGTCCTCCTCTGGTCTCTCGTCCTCAACCTCCTCCTCGTCGTCCGGAGCATCTTGAAAATCGTCCCCGGCATCTGAATGTGCGTCCTGGTGGTCGTCTTGCTCAGCGTACTGAGGAGACATCATCTCCGGTGCAACCTGGTTCACCCATTGCTCCGTGAAGGTCGTTTGCTGAGCCGGAGTAAGATCTGCTGGAGGTTGAAGATCAGCTGTGGCTCCGAAGAGTCCTGATTGATCTTGTTGGAACTCCTGATGATGAACCGGAGTTGGGAAACCTATGGAATGTGCGGGGGTATCCAGTCTTCCCGGAGTCATCAAACCACCGAGACTCTGTAGAGAAACATTTATTTGTTGTTGCATAACCAGCTCCGACCTCATTTCCTCAGGTTGCGGAAGGGATACATCAGGTTGCCTAGCTAACTCTCGACTACGGGCAAATTCTTCTTGTTGACGTGCTAAGTCTAGTTGCCTCTTGGCATACACAGATTCAGAATCATGCCTCTTCCTCTTGGGAACACGCTCCTTAGAAGCTTTCTTCTGGATTGGATGATCTCCATCTGCTCCGTTATACTCTAGGTTTAATCTTTCTTCATCCCGTGCATGAAATTCTTCATTTTGCGAACCCTTCATTTTCAAACATTTCTTGAAATTTTCCAATAGAAGTTTTGGTCCAAGATTTCTAGATGGTAGATTAAAGAGTTCATCTACTCCTCCAGTCTCCTTCCAGTGCATCAGTCTTTTAGTTGGTGGAGCAATATCCAGGGTAGTCACTATATCAGCGCTGTCACTTAGCTGTCCTTTCATACCCTCACCGGTAATAGCTTTTATATCATCGACAATCAGCTTTCTCTTTCGCTTTCTTCTTTCTCCTTTCAGAGCACTAGCTTCGACAGGGGCCAGGGCAAAACTTTCTTCTTCATTGTGGAGAAGAGTAGTTGTATCATGGTTAGCATAAACTGTAGATTGGATACTATGGGTTGGACTGGAGGGAGTAGGGGTAGCAGGTACAGGAGTAGCATCTAGCTGGGGGGCGGGGATATCCGGCACCTCCTCTAGGGGAGAACCAGGTCTAGAGCCATCACTATGCATAGGACTAGGAGCTCCACCAAAATCATCATCTCCAATAGTGCTGGGAGCAGGGACATAGTGTTCAGATTCTATCTGAGGTTGAACTTCAAACAGGGATTCTTCTTCAAACAATCCCCCGGAGAGATAATCATTGACAGGACCGACTCCACCAAACCCATCATCATGGATCGGAGCATCAAGCCGGGAACCTGATGTACTGGGTCCTGCTAAATCATGCTCTCGAAGAGAATCCCGTCCTGAAATCTCTCTCTCTTTCGACAAGGTCGTCTCTAAGCTCATTTCATCTCCGAAATGACCCATGTGAGACGAATCTCTCATCATCTCAGGCGGAGCAAGATCAATTGAATCTCCAAATCCATCATCACCAGTGGACAGAGTAATATTACCGTAATCCTCCCTCATAGTGATCTCCTCAGCTCTGGTCTGGTTCATCGCAAATTGCTGATGGATATCCATATCATCTAGATCAGGGATATCTGTGTCAAAATCATGAAACACGTCAGGTAGAGTGATAGCATTGATAGCAGCCTCTCTTTTATCCTCAGGGAGATCAACCATACCAGGTCTGAAAGCCATCTTGATCTTGACAAATGCCTCATTGCAGTCTGCCAGAAGATACTTGGCTTTGCGGGAATGAATTCGGACAACTCCTAGAAGCAAATGTCCACTGGTTCGTAGAGCCATTTTCACTTTAGGTTGCATAATTCCATCAACGGACTGCTCTATATTTGTTTCATAAACATGAGCTTTTGTCAACTTTTTGTCCCAATGTGCTGCAAGCCAAATCCTAGCCAAAGGCCCCTTCTTGGCCAGGACAAAATGCGCGTAAAACATGGTGGACGGTGGTCTGTAAGGTCACTTAGGGAACAGTGAGGATCAAAATCCTCCACTAACGAGATAATTCTTATTCTACAGAGTCAATATGTTGTTTTAGTCCATTGCTTGCAAAGTTTCGCCATAAACAGGATTTCACCTGACGTCAGTTGCGTCTATTTAATCTTACCAATCAGCACTCGCGAATTTTCCCTCCAACCAATCACATTGAAGGAGGGAAACCTGTCCGCGCCCTTGGACAGCCATTATTTCATATTTTAAGCGGGAACGGAAAGGTCGTCGTAGATTTTGAATTTTGCGTCAATAATTGTAACATTTTAACATGATAAAATAGAAAATACATGATATAATACGGAGGCCTATGTGGGGGAGGGGGAAGGGGGGGCACGAGGCATAGGATAAGTAAAATAATTTATTAAACATATACTCCAGGGGCGGATACAAGATTTAAGTGAGGGGGGGGGGGCAAGATTTTTTAGGAACAAAAAATTCATAAATAGGAAAAAAAAAAATTTTGACTTAAAAGACTCAAAAAGAGTCAAAATTAATCACTACAGACTTAAACACTAGATTTTTTACTTTTCACACAAATTATATATGTTTATTATGACAGATATTTTTCCTGTTTTGCACTATAGGGTTTCTTTCCCTTAAGCATGCTATTGAGAAGCTATTCCAAATTCAGGGGGGCTACACCCCTCCCTGAATCTGTCAGGGGGGGGCGACTGTCCCCCAGCCCCCTAAGAGGGGGCCGGGGGGGATGCTCAGTCATCGCTCTGTCCAATAGCTATTATAAGAAGGGGGTGCAGTTGTGCTAATATATTGGCCGCTCCTGTAAATCAAAGCCTCCAATTATAGGTATTTTATAATAAAACCATATAAAACCGTATCTGCATGGACCTTCTAATGTGTATTATATATATTTAACATTTATTACATAAACGCGTAAGAAGATACAGGGTGTCCCACGAAACATGACATTTAATAAATAGTTATTTTTAGTTAAACAAATCTTTTGCCTAATTATATTTTACTTTGAAATCAATTTTAATATAACATGACTCCCATATAATATTTTCATTGATCTTTGGTATCAAACAACTGAACAAATAATGGAAAAAGACATTCTAAACTTTTCACTAACTGTCATGTTTCGTGGGACACCCTGTATCAGCAGGGGCGGATACAGGATTTAAGTAAGGGGGGGGGGGCAAAATTTTTTAGGAACAACAAATCGTGCCGCAGGCGAAATTTTTTTTGACTCAAAGAGTCAAAATTAATGTATAAAGAGTAAAGACTAAAAAACTAGATTTTTTAACTTTAAGGAACAAAATTAACGGATTAGAACAGGAATTTAGGAACAATTAAAAGATTGTTCAGGAATTAGGAACAAAAATAAAGGATTAGGACAGGAATTTAGGAACAATTAAAAGATTGTTCAGGAATTAGGAACAAAAATAATGGATTAAGACAGGGATTTAGGAACAATAAAAAGATTGTTCAGGACCTAGGAACAAAAATATTGGATTAGGACAGGGATTTAAGTTGGGTCGGACACAGTATTAGGAACAGGAACAATAATAGGAACATTAGCAATTTAAAAACAAAAAGAAATTACTAGTTATACTTAAATGCATCAAAATTAGGACCAAATATTACAATTTTGATAAATGGGTATTTATTATGGAACATTACTAGATATGAACAATATTATAACTTAAGTCTAGTGTCTTACAAATTTCTAATTCTGAATTTATCGTTAACAATAACATTTACTTGTTGTCGGTGATTTTTAAATTAAACTGAAGAAAAGAAAGTCAAGATTTCCATTAAACAAAAAAAAAGCTTGAAATTGAAAAACACATACGATTTATAAAATTGGGAACATTTTTTGCCTCGAAATCTCAGGGAGGGGCTACGCCCCTCTCTGAATCTGTCAGGGGGTGGCGAATGTCCCCGTCACCCCTGCCTGTATGTGAAATTGTCTTATTTACGTTGGTAATTGCTCACTTTTAACTCATTTTCTTTATTTGATTTACCCAAACAATCACATAGTAAACACAGATTTCGGTGATCTACATTTGAAAATTTTTTATTCATGAAAATCGAATTTTAATATGTATTTTCTATTAAAATCGAAATTGAAAACCCTTTCATTATAACTTAAAAAGAGAGATGGAGAATGGAGATCTACAAATATTTGTGAAAACTCCCATAAATACCGTTTTTAAAACTGAAGCATATGGTCTGCATAATCAAATCTCTTATTTGACATATTCAAAAACATGTTTTAAGATACAACATATTCTTATATTATTAAATCAGAATTCATGATAAAAAAAACAGTTTTTTTTGTAATTTTACAATATATTTTCTAACGGTTTATAATGCAACAAGATCTCTACAATATTTAACTGTATGAATTATATTTAGTGTTAAATGCTCTTTTTCTCGTTTTTTTAAAACCTATATTTTTGTTTTTGTTTCATTTAAATACAGAATTAAGATGAAACTAGGGCTGATGAGCACTGGTGTGTTAGAGGGCTGATATAAGAAAAAATTGTTTAAGTTCATGACAATGGACCAAAATCATTTAAAAACAAAACAATTCTGAGAGTTCACACGAGAAAACCAGTTAAGTAAACCATGGTTTTCTCCTCAAGTCAAGCCTTTATACGACCTTTTTCAAAAAAAGGAATAGTTTTATAAAGCTGAGAAATTTGTGCGGACACATCCAGCACTGGATATTTGAAGATGGAATATAAAGGCAAGGAAGGGTTTCCTCTGAACATGGTTCATATGATTTATGAGAGGAATAGTCAAGAAACTAATATAATATATACGGATCTTATTTCAGGGAAAACGGATAGTGTCGTTGATCAGATTGAATCATCAACGATAATTATCTAGAGACTTGATGGAAGTGTCGTTGATCAAGGAATATAATCTCGACTTGAAGGATCTAGTAGTCGTCCTCGTTCTCTCCTAATAGCTCGGGGTCTGTGTACTCGCTCTGCTCGTGGTTTTCGTTTCTCAGGATCCCAGAACCAGACTTCTCCTCACAGGAAATCTAAACAAAATAAAATAAAAACATTTCTTAGTTCAACATATTTAAAGTGAATTATTTATATTTTTCTTTCCATTTTTGACATTTTTAATGCTTTTATTATTTATTATGGTTGTTTCAATTTGAATATGTAAATAAACATTTTGGACGTTTTCAAAAGATGTATTTATTTTACATTAGTTGGGGAACCCAGCTATGGCATGAAACTTCACATTGTCTAAAATAATCAACCCACTCAACTCAGAATTTTTAAACCAAGCTAAGAACATTTCCGCAGTTCAACCGAGTAGCCAACTCAAATTTGAGGCAAATCGGCCAATGGTTCATGAGTTATGATCGGACAAAACAACCAAAAAGCCAAATATTGCAAAGATTTGTGTTTTCCTAGAATTACTCACATCTTCATCTGTCCACTCTTCGTTAACTTGTGTTGAGTAGTGTAGAAGTGAATGCCCCTGTCCATGCCTGAGGTAGGGGGACAAGATGAATAGGAACACAAGGGGACCCACCAGAACAGTGTGAAGGTACAAGGTCAGGCTTGTCAAGCAGATTCCTCCCTAAAAAATTTTGATTAAAAAATCAATAAGTGCATATTTTGTTAGGTATTTAAATACTTATCGGCCATTAATTATGCATTTGATCTGAATTTTGAACCGAGGGATCACTCATAAAGGAGTAAACTCTAATTGTCTGATCCTTATATCTTTCGATTTTTCAAAATATAGAACAGTGAGAACCAGAAACCTCTCGAATAAGAAGACGACTTATAGACTCAAGTTATAAATCTCCAATGAGCATGAGGCACAGTAATTGTGCAGTACAAACAAACCAATTTCATTTAAAAGAGATTTAATAAGTTACTGATAAAACTGTTTCAATGGTAACAACGTCAAATGCAATTAAGAATCGCTTTACGGTCGTCTTTCTATTTCACAGTACTCTGGTTCTAACTCTTCTGTAAGCTCAAATAGTCAGAGTATGAAATATCAAAGGTTTCCATCACCAGGTTGTAAAAATTCAGAGATTGGAAAATTAGAATCCTTTATTGGATTTTAAATAATCATCTTCACCTTCATCCCAGTCAATAGTACAACACCACCTAGAGCTCGAGATGAGTTTAATCCGAGTAGAATAGAACTATAGATTAGAGCCTTAGATCTTCCAGGACTTGATTTATGCTGCCTTAGTCTAGATTAGATTATAGATTAGTATTATTATTATTAATTTTTTATTATTATTACTATTATTATCATTATTATCATTATCGTTATCGTTATCGTTATCGTTATCGTTATCGTTATCGTTATCGTTATCGTTATCGTTATCATTATCATTATCATTATCATTATCAATTTATCATTATCATTACCTAACAAGAATAACGATTGTGTTGAGAACGGCGAGGGTACCGGCGATGATGGCAGTATAGAGTCCGCCCCCTTCGGCATACAGGTAGTACCCAAGTCCGAACACGTGGAAAGCGGCGGAGGGAACTCCTGATTTATCAAAAATATTTTTTTTTAATTTTTCTTTTGTTTAACGATATTTTAAAGAACTTTTAAGGTAAAAGATATTCTGAAAAAGACCATTAATCTCTCGGATGAATTAGAACAAAGGAAAAATACGTACTTATAGTATATACAGTTCCGCCACTGGGATAAAAATCAAGTTTTCGTATGGTGTATAGGTTAATATATAAATACAAAACGAAAAAAAACTAAATTTTTTTTTCTCCTTTGCCATAAAATGGGTTTGTTTTCTTCAGTTACAGTTACAAGCACTATCTTGATTTTTTCTCTCGCACTTTTAAACTTCCGATAGAATTATATGATATTATATCGTATCAATAGTTTACCTAGTTCTATGAGAAGAGTAACTGTAAAAAAACACGATAGAATTAACTACCATATCAATAGTTTACCTATGTAGTTCTATGAGAAGAGTAATGATAAAGAAAACGATAGAATTATGTATCATATAAATAATTTACCTAGTTCAATGAGAAGATAGAATTATGTATCATATCAATAGTTTATACCTAGTTCTATGAGAAGAGTAATGATAAAGAACAAGATAGAAATAACTATCATATCAATAGTTTACCTAGTTCTATGAGAAGAGTAATGATAAAGAAAGCGATGGAGACCAAAACAACTCCGAACAACAAGCGCCGAGAGTTCCTGGAAAAAAATGTTAGAGTTAAAAATGTTTGGACTTACAAGATAAAGACGGAGGATCCTTGAAAATAAATCCAAACCCACATAAAAAACTAAACCTCGAGAATAAAACTTGACCTAAGAATGAAACTATACCTAGAGAAGGAAACTAATTCTAGAAAAGTAAACTCAACTTGAAGAATGAAATTAAAACTAGAGAAGGAATCACTAAACCTGGAGTTAACATTGAATTGGAAATTAAATTTGGTATGGGAAACTTAACCCGGAGAAGGAAACTAAACCCGGAGAAGGAACTAAACCTGAAGAAGGAAACTAAACCTGAATAAGGAAACTAAACCCGGAGAAGGAAACTAAACCCGGAGAAGGAAACTAAACCCGGAGAAGGAAACTAAACCTGAAGAAGGAACTAAACCTGAAGAAGGAAACTAAACCTGAAGAAGGAAACTAAACCCGGAGATGGAAACTAAACCTGAAGAAGGAAACAAAACCTGAAGAAGGAATCTAAACCCGGAGAAGGAAACTAAACCCGGAGAAGGAAACTAAACCCGGACAAGGAAACTAAACCCGGAGAAGGATACTAAACCTGAAGAAGGAACTAAACCTGGACAAGGAAACTAAACCCGGAGAAGGATACTAAACCTAAAGAAGGAACTAAATCCAGACAAGGAAACTAAACCTAGAAAAGTAAACTCAACCTGGAGAATGAAATTAAAACTAGAGAATCAAACTAAACCAGTAAAAGGAAACTAACCCTAAAGAAGGAAATTAACATGGAGAAGGAAAATAAACCCGAAGAGGAAAAAAACCTGGAGAATAAAGCCAAATTCAATGAAGAAACGAAACCTGAGAATAAAACGAAACCTGAGAATAAAACTAAACCTATAGAGAAGGAAACTAAACCTTGATAAGGAAACCAAACCTAGAGCAAGAAACTAAACCTTGATCAGGAAACTAAACCTATAGAGAATGAAACTAAACCTGGAGAATGAAACTAAACCAAGAGAATGAAACTAAACTTGGAAAAGGAAACTAATTCTGGAGAAAGAACTTAACCCGGAGCAGAAAACTGAACAACTAAACCTAGAGAAAGAACTCTAACCCGGAGAAGGGAACTAAACCTTGAGAAATAAATTAAACCCGAAGAAGGAAACCAAACCTGGAGAAAGACACTTTAACCCGGATAAGGAAACTAAATCTAAACCTGGATGAAGAAACTAAATCTGGAAAGTGAAACTAAACCCGAAGAAGGAAATTAAACCCGGAGAAGGAAACTAAACCCGAAGAAGGAAACTAAACCCGGAGAAGGAAACTAAACCCGGAGAAGGAAACTAAGCCCGGAGAAGGAAACTAAACCCAGAGAAGGACCCGGAAAAGGAAACTAAACTTGGTAACAGAATACGGACAGATTAAACTAACCTGGAGAAGGAAACTAAACCTACAGAAAGAAACTAACCCTTGAAAAGGAAATCGAACCTTGCAAAAAACACTACACCAATGAAGTGAATTGAATTTGAAAAATAACTGAAAGAGAAATCTAAACCTCGCGTAAAAAGGTAAACCAGGAGAAGGAAATTGAAACCAGAAAAGTGAACCTTATAATTTAGTTCTGTACCTAGAGCTGGGAAGGCTGGCGAACATAAGATTAAGGATAGCGGTCAGCTCAAGGCAGAGTAAAGAAGATCTTGTTAAAGTCCAGGATACCTGAGAATAAAATCAATTATTTTTTTTTTCATAGGTTAACCCTAAAAACTCAGCTAAACAACTCACATGTTTGAATAAATCCTTGATAATGCTAAAGCCCAACCTTATCCAGGGAATTGAATGAATCCTTGATAGAAAACTCAACCTTATTGGGTGGATCCTTGAAATTTTAATCCAACCTTATCCAGGGTATTGGGTGAATCCTTGATAGTCAAACTCAACCTTATCCAGGGTATTGGGTGAATCCTTGATAGTAAACTCAACCTTATCCAGGGTATTGGATGAATCCTTGATAGTAAACTCAACCTTATCCAGTGTATTGGGTAAATCCTTGATAGTAAACTCAACCTTATCCACGGTATTGGATGAATCCTTGATAGTAAACTCAACCTTATCCAGGGTATTGGGTGAATCCTTGATAGTAAACTCAACCTTATCCAGGGTATTGGATGAATCCTTCATAATGATTAAACCCAACCTTATGTAGAGCCTTAAACGAATCCTTGATAATGATCAAACCCATTCTTATCCAGAGTTATTGATGAATCGTTGATAATTAAACCCGACCTTTTTCAGGGTTTTGGATGAATCCTTGATAATGATTAAACCCAACCTTATCCAGAGTATTGGATGAATCCTTGATAATGATTAAACCCAACCTTATCCAGGGTATAGGATGAATCCTTGATAATGATTAAACCCAACCTTATCCATGGTATTGGATGAATCCTTGATACTGATTAAACCCGCCCTTATCCATGGTATTGGATGAATCCTTGATAATGATTAAACCCGACCTTATCCATGGTATTGGATGAGTCCTTGATAATGATTAAACCCGACCTTATCCAGGGTTTTGGATGAATCCTTGATAATGATTAAACCCAACCTTATCCAGAGTATTGGATGAATCCTTGATAATTATTAAACCCAACCTTATCCAGGGTATTGGATGAATCCTAGATAATAATTAAACCCAACCTTATCCATGGTATTGGATGAATCCTTGATACTGATTAAACCCAACCTTATCCAGGGTTTTGGATGAATCCTTGATAATGATTAAACCCAACCTTATCCAGGGTATTGGATGAATCCTTGTGAGCTGGAACCATGATAAGGAGAAGAGCTCTACCCAGACAGATGGCTAAATACAAATTTTATTATTTTCAAACATTTTTCAGAAAAATTAAATTTCAAGAAATACTTTTTTATTTTGAAAATGTTTGAACATTTTTTCTTCTAGATTTTTGAGATTTTAATCTAAAATTTTTTTTTAATCAATGAAGTCTGACTAAATAGACGGCAAAAAATGATCGACAAATTAATATTTTTCATAATCATAAAAGGAACTGTAGATATATTTCAAGTGACTGTAAATAATCATAGATTGGCATCTGTAATTCACAACGGTACCATTTAAACCTTATTTTGGTAACAACGAGAAAGATATAATAGTTGTTCTATCTTGAAAAGGGTTAGATTTTGATTTAATATCTCTGCAACATAATATCTCAAAACACTTTTATAGAAAATCAACAATTTCAAAAAATCAATTTTTAGAATGAAAAAACAAGGAGATCCCAATCAAACTTCACATATAGATGAAGAGTCATTTTAAATTGATAAACTAAATGAAGATGAGTACCTGTAGACGCAATGTTGATAAACTGCAGGAAGATGAGTACCAGTAGACGCAAGGGTGATAAACTGCAGGAAGATGAGTACCTGTAGACGCAAGGGTGATAAACTGAAGGAAGATGAGTACCTGTAGACGCAAGGGTGATAAACTGAAGGAAGATGAGTACCTGTAGACGCAAGGGTGATAAACTGAAGGAAGATGAGTACCTGTAGACGCAAGGGTGATAAACTAAAGGAAGATGAGTACCTGTAGACGCAAGGTTGATAAACTGAAGTAAGATAAGTAACTGTAGACGCAAGGGTGATAAACTGAAGGAAGATAAGTACCTGTAGACGCAAGGGTTGATAGTCTGAAGGAAGATAAGTACCTGTAGACGCAAGGGTGATAAACTGAAGGAAGACGACGAATGCTGGAGCTCCACTTAGCTTCTGTCTGCTCCGGGGGGAAGTATAGATAAGGAGAAGTAGGAAGAGGATAGCAGGGACCAGGAGACAAACATCAAACACCTTCATCAGGAAGAGTTCAAGGAATTGTCGAGGTAATCGTCATATTGGATCATGCATATAGTAAAAACTAAAAAAAACTCTTAAATAGGAAGACGACATTAAAGCAATAGTAAAGTATACTTGATGTTGTTACAAAGCACATAATTTTCCTACTGACTTTTTTAATCACTTATTAGGTGAAATGTGTCTGTTAAATTTCACAATTGCGGTGTCCATGTTCATTGGACTAATGGACTATTTAAAGTCATAACTTGAGTCTACAAGTCGTCTTCCTCCAGAGTTTTCTGGTTCTCACTATCTAAATATAAATTTGGCTTTTCTGTCTGTTTGTCTGTCTGTCTGTTTGTTTGTATCCAATAAACGTCAAAACGGCTGAACCGATCGGGCCCAAATTTTTTGTGGGACATCACGTGACCACAGGGAAGGTTTATGAATGATCAAAATTTCAAATATTTGTCTCCATTAAAATTCGACCTTCATTAAATTTTTGAAAATTTTGTTAAATCCACGAAATTTTTTGTGAAAATCCGCGAATTATTTTTGTTTTGTTTTACGATGTACACAAAGAGAACATGTTCACAATTAATTTAGAAGATGGGCGCGAAGCGCCCTCTAAGGCTAGTAGCTCTAAATTAGAGTTTTGAGACATAACAGAAAACTTTAAATGTTGAATCGTTTTAAAAAGTTGTACGAGGTCATAATACAGAGGGTAAAACATTTGTATGCCAAAAATACAAAATTATTTTGATTGAAAGCTCGATTAGCAAAGGTAATCTTTGTCTCATCAAGTGTGAATTAGAAATCAATAATTCTAATTTTAAAAAACTAATTTTTCTATTCAAAAGTGACTTGCGGAGATTATATTGCAAGGAAAAAAACATAGTAAATATCAAAATTAAACAATTTTAAGCCTCTAGAAAAACGACAATATCTTGCACATTATTGATCAGATAAAGGTTTCAAGGGAAAACAGATTTGACCTCTAAGTCCTTTAACCTTTAACAGGCGGGGGGGTGGGGCGTTTAATAAAAAAATTTAAAGACAACTTTTAAAATCTGTTCTTTGACAAACCTTAACACTGGAGACTCCAATGGTAGTGTAGAGGATCTTCTTACAAACATAGAACTCACTCACGGGGACCTCGTCTTTGTTCTACAACATTATAAATCAATTAATCCCTTTTTTAAGATTTGAATCCGTATATTTTGTCTGTTATCAATTTGCTATCGGAAACGTTCTTCAATTACTATTCATATTAAAAATAATAACACTGGAGCTTGCAATCAATCAAAGTGAATAAATAAATATTCCCTTTGGCAATAAATATAATTCATTTTATTATTTAGATTTATCCATGTATTCTTAATTTCGTCTTTTTCAACAAAGTTTAAAGTACATTTTCTTTCTAAAGGAACTGATTACTTGCCTCAAAACATTGTTTTCTAATGCTTAAATCTTTACAACATCTAACCTCTGACCTTTGATATTTCAAACTTTGAATTCTGATATATCAAATACATAGTGTTGGAAATATCAAAGCTTTACAACATCATGTTGCAAAGATAAAGGATTAGAATAGAAATTGGTTACTCTGTACTCACCACAGCTCTGATTCCTATATCTTTGCAACCTGAAGCTTGAACCTTTGATAGAACCAAGTTTTATTGTTTGATTTAGCAGGGATCATAGTTTGTAATATCTTAAAGGTATATACAACATCAGTTTGCAAAGATATATAAATTAGAAACTGTTTATTTTAATGCAGGTGATCAGTTCATTTTCAAGTATTTGATCTAACTTTCTATCTAAATAATTGCATCAGGCTGCACAAATTTTAAGTTAAAATAATTATCCTATAGGTTCTGACAACGGGGGGTTGCTTCTAAGTGGTCCCAGGAAACTCCCCAGCTATCTCACCAAAATCTAAAAACTTATCTTCTCAATCAATATGATTAATTGATTGAAATCATATTTTTCTCCAAAATTTGCAGTGCTAACAGTCATATCTCCAGTTTCAAGCAANAGAGCTACCGGAGTTGTGAAACAAAATATGTTCTTGTTTAAAATTAAGCATGTTAGAGCTACCGGAGTTGTGAAACAAAATATGTTCTTGTTTAAAATTAAGCATGTTAGAGCTACCGGAGTTGTGTTACAAAATATGTTCTTGTTTAAAATTAAGCATGTTAGAGCTACCGGAGTTGTGTTACAAAATCTGTTAATTAAAATATTTCAAAGAAAATACTTTACGCCATTATAAAGCCATCAGTACTCAAGTTACATCCTAGAGGTATAAAAAGAAGAATTTTTTACTTTGATTTGAGAATTTTATAAAAAAAAAATTTTTTCTATAGTTTGCTTGGAACTGGAGATATGACTGTTAGCATGACATATTTTTGAGAAAAATAAGATTCTAATCAATCAAGCAATATTGTTTGAGACGAAAAGTTTTCTGATTTTGGTGAGCTAGATAGCTGGGGAGTTACCTGGAACCAGTTTTAGAAGTACCCCCCGTTATCAGACCCTATGGGATAATTATTTAAACTTAGCATTTTTGCAGCCTGGTGTGAGTGGGCATCATAAAACTTTCAAATAGGAAAACGACCTAAAAGCAATCTTATGTGTATTTGATGTTGTTAACAAGCAAATACTCTTCCCAGTAGCTTGAAAATCGTTTTATTAGGTGAAATGGGTCTGTGTGCATTGCACAATTGCCCTAGTTTATGTTCATTGGACTATTTAAAATCATTGAGGCTAACGGTCGTCTTTGTAATCTACAGGTTTAATAATCCACTGTATGAGTATGAAACCAACCTGTTGATGAAAGAACTCGTCATGGTCAAAGACCTCTTCTCCCAGGTCCTTATCGGAGCTGTTGGACCCTCTCAGCACATCCTGGAGAACGTTCACAATCCCGTCCATAATACCTGGATTAAATACGGAGTACAAATTTAGAGAACTCAAGGCGTGCAAATAGGATTTATCGTAGAAAATCTTTGCTCCTCCCCCTTTCCCCAAGAGGGTAGAAGGTAGGAAAGATAAAGTAGAAGAGTAGAAAAGTAAGTAGGGAAGAAAAGGTTTGAGGTAGACAAGTAAGATAAAGTAGAAGGGTAGAAAGGTAGGTAGAAAAGAAAAGGTTATATAGGGAAGAGAAGGTTTGAGGGTAGAAAAGTGGGTAAGAAAAAGAAGGTAAGAGGGCAGAAAGATAGGTAGGGAAGAGAAGGTAAGAGGGTAGACATATAGGTAGGGAAGAGAAGGTAAGAGGGTGGAAAGGAAAGTAGGGAAGGGAAGGTTTAAGAGTAGAAAAGTAGGTAGGGAAGGGAAGGTAAGAGGGTAGGAAGATGTGTAGAAAGAAGGTAAGAGGTAGAAAGGTATGTAGGGAAGAGAAGGTAAGAGGTAGAAAGGTATGTAGGGAAGAGAAGGTAAGCGGTAGAAAGGTATGTAGGGAAGAAAAGGTAAGAGATAGAAAGGTAGGTAGGGAAGAGAAGGTAAGAGGTAGAAAGGTAGGTAGGGAAGAGAAGGTAAGAGGGTAGAAAGATGTGTAGAAAGAAGGTAAGAGGTAGAAAGGTAGGTAGGGAAGAGATGGTAAGAGGTAGAAAGGTAGGTAGGGAAGAGAAGGTAAGAGGTAGAAAGGTAGGTAGGGAAGAGAAGGTAAGAGCTAGAAGAACACTTAATATATATATCTTTCACTATTGAACCATAGATCTCAATTACAATACAGTGCAGACTTGCAGTTCACTTTTGTATACAAACTATAATAAACCATTTTCATTAAAACAAATTTGAAGTGCTTTCAACATTATTTGGAGCGCGTTTAGTACCTCTTCACACCGCGACAGTCAGGGAGAGACGAAAACAAGCCGGGGCAGTGGACTAGTCTAGTTTTTCCATGCACCCGCTTAGCAACTGCCTAAACTAGTCTGATTTTTCAATTTATTAATAGAAAACAAAGAATGAGATTCAAAGTCGAGAAAGTATTTAGTATCTAATTTCAAATCCCATTTCAAAGAAACATTTCATAGAATTATCAAAGAAACATTTGCAGTTTTCATGCCAGCGACGTTAACTGCAAAAATGGTTAAAGTTTTTATTCAAAAATCAGACTTGAGAAACCTTGGTTGCAGAGGCCCCCTGAACAAAGCGACATGTACTCAATGTATGGTAAAAAAAAGTTGCATAAGAAAAATATTTAACGTTCTGGTATGTTCTTTTATACCAGTTAATTTGAAAACCTAATTATCATTTTCTATCTTGTCTAAATAAAATATTTTTTTTAGCCCTGGAGACACTGGTTATATATTGTTACTAAGCAGGTTCAGGCTCTAGACAAACAAGGGTTCCATTGCATGGATGCATGGGACTGTATGTATAAAATGCCTTATTTTTCACATTAGCTTCATGTCAGGTAAATAGAAGGTAGTAAAAGTAGTAATAATTTAAATTTGAAAAATAAAGATGTGTATTGATTTGTGAATAAATGGTAGAACTCAGGGTAGTGGGGAACTGAAAAATAAATTCTTGAATAAGTGTTGATAAAAAAGTTCCAACAAGTCGGTGGTAGTGAGGGTAGTTTAAAATAAAAAAAAAAATTGAAAAAAATGTTGATATATAGATTTTAAAAAGTCGGAGGTAGTGAGGGTAGTGGCAAATTGAAAAATAAATTTGAATAAATGTTGATAAAAAAGTTTCAACAAGATTAAATAACGAAATAGGATGCAAGCATAGCATAGACTTATATAAGGAAATACATACACACTTATATACGGATGCATAGGACGCATGCATAGCATAGACTTATATAAGGAAATACATACAAGTTTAGATACGGTTACATAGTATGCATGTATAGCTCGACTTATATAAGGAAATACATACAAGTTTATATACGGCTGCATAGGATGCATGCATAGCATAGACTTATAAAAAAAAATTCATACAAGTTTATATACGGTTACATAGTATGCATGTATAGCATAGACTTATATAAGGAAATACATACAAGTTTATATACGGCTGCATAGGATGCATGCATAGCATAGACTTATATAAGAAAATACATACAAGTTTATGTACGGATGCATAGAATGCATGCATAGCATAGACTTATATAAGTAAATACATATATAATATATAAATTTTTGCGCTTTTTGTTGCTTAGGACATTTTCTAACATTGCACATTTTGTAATCTTTGGTGTTATGTTTTGGGTGTTTTGTTTTTGGACATTTTGTTTTTGGGCGTTTTGTATCCACTCCGTTCTATTCAGTTAATATTTTAGAACCATATGTAAGAGAATCTTGTAGGTAAAATTATCCAAAATTATCCACTCCGTTCTATTCAGTTAATATTTTAGAACCATGTTAGAGAATCTTGTAGGTAAAATTATCCAAAATTATCCACTCCGTTCTATTCAGTTAATATTTTAGAACCAGTTAGAGAATCTTGTAGGTAAAATTATCCAAAATTATCCACTCCGTTCTATTCAGTTAATATTTTAGAACCATGTTAGAGAATCTTGTAGGTAAAATTATCCAAAATTATCCACTCCGTTCTATTCAGTTAATATTTTAGAACCATGTTAGAGAATCTTGTAGGTAAAATTATCCAAAATTATCCACTCCGTTCTATTCAGTTAATATTTTAGAACCATGTAGAGAATCTTGTAGGTAAAATTATCCAAAATTATCCACTCCGTTCTATTCAGTTAATATTTTAGAACCATGTAAGAGAATCTTGTAGTCAAAATTATCCAAAAATTGTTCAACAATGGCGTGGACAATATTCATCCCAATACCGAGTCAGCTATACAAACTTTGGGTAAATTCAAGAAGATTTTGAACTCAATGAATAAGCGATATCATCATATCTTTCCACATTGTCTTGTGAAGGCAAGAAAAAGTTATACCATGTGGTGTTTTGAAAATAGATTAAAGCCAAAACAACACAGGCCAAAGTTTACAAAGTTTAGTCGCGCCCATTTAAATGAAATTTTTATTTTTTGCATTAAAATGATTTTAAATCAATTTTTGAAAAATAAAACAAAAATAAATCTACATAAACATTATATCTGAGCCAAATACGACTTGATAATCTATTTGCCCGATCAAAACTTGATTTCGTTCTCTAATTAACTTCTGATATATTTTATCAAATATATATTTAAAATCTTTTATTATTAATACCTTACAAAACGATACAAAACAACATATAAAGAAAGGAATTGATTGTAGCCACAAACTCTGATTTTTTTAATTCATATATTATTGCAACCCAATGTCGTAGTTTAAAATATCAAAGGTTTACACAGTGAGGTTGCAAAGATATAGGCATTAAAATATTTTGGTTTGTAGCAAAGACTACTTTTATACATAGAATTGCACAAGTTTTTTTACTTTATGCCCTTGGTCAAACATTTTGTGAAAAAAGAGTCAGTCGAAAAGTTGAATTCGTATTTTAAAAAATGCAAAGGAATTGAGTTTTTGCCACAAACTCTGATTTTAAAATTCTTATATCTTTTCAACCCGATGTTGTAGACCTTAGATTTTTCAGACTATGAATTATGTTGGATCACATAATCTAAGTTAGAAATATCAAAGGTTTACAGCATCAGGTTGCAAAGATGTCATTTTGAGAAAATTTGAGTTTGTGGCAAAGACTCAATTCCTTTACGCATTTTTCGGATTGTTTCCGACATTTTTAGAAAAGTTAATTGGCATTTTTCTTCGGTAATCGGATGGATGAGAAATAGTTGAAGTTAAATGAGATAATTTGCAAAACCTCCGAAAAATTATAGAATTGTATAATTTCAAACGATAATATTAAAAAATAATATGAAATACAATTTCACTTAGATTCCCATTAATATTATATAATGAATATAAAAACCATAAACCGGTTAAAATTGCGCTTTTTTTCGAAGCTATTTATTTCTTTTTCCCAGATTTAGGACGAGATTTTGATGATGCATTCGTCTCCTCTTCTTTTTTCTCCCTGAAATAAATACAGAGTTACTCACAAAAAAATGAGACTGCAGAGACGAATGTGCGAAATTAATTGAGTCTATTCCTTTCAATCCTGGTTCCCTTCAATCTTAAATTTCTTTCTTTCTTTGCCAAATTATTAAGTACATCATTTAAAGGCTTTATTTAAGACAGAGGACCAAATTCAACCCTAAGATATTTAATGAAAATAAACCAAAATATCAGTTTCAGAGGCCGGATTTTAACAATTTGAGCCGCAGCGTTAATTTAAGACGCGGCTCAAATGTGGTTGGTTCCACTTATAAAATTGTATTCAATGTTTCAAGATTTAAGCCGGTGCTTAATTGTAACCGATTTTTGGCGGCTCTAACTCATTAAATTCGGCCTCAGTTATGTTCAGAACTGCTTCTCTTAATTTAGTTTAGAACACTTTTATCTTATTTAGTTCAGAAATTTATTTTCTGAATTTGTTTTTCCCATTAAGTTCAACATTATTTTCTAATTCTTGAATAATTTTTTCAATATTTTGGAATCTTTTTCCTCCTCTTACCTAGTGTTTACAATGAATGCTCTTGTCTTCAGTAGTCCCACATCTAATGGTTTTGTTTGGTCAAGACCAACTTCAATGTCGTCTTCTTCGTGCTTAGACTCAGCTCGTCCCAGTACTCCTGGGAGAAGATAATGTGAGGAATCGAATGATGTCTTTTGTAATTATGAAATAAAAGATTATAAAATATCTAAAGTGTTTTCATTAAATACAAGAAACTGAAAACTGCTGTAAACTATATGTCTAATCCATGCAAGATACAGGGTGTCCCACGAAACATGACAGTTGGTGAATAGTATTTCTTCTTCCACACACTATATTAGATATTAAAGACTTTTTGCATTTTATTTCTTTTAAAAATGTTTAACTCATGTATATTTTACTGTGAAATCAATTTTACTATAGTATAACTGTCATTTAAAAAATGTTTTATAGTCTCTTTAGTAACAAAGAACTTATCAAATTATGGAAGAAGACATTTTAAACTATTCACCAACTCGTGTTCCGTGGGACACCCTGTACATCTTTGACTATCTGATCCATGCAGTATGGAGTAAAATTTAAGTTTGCAAAATCAAAGGTCTTTTCACATATAAAATATTATATATATACATATAAAATATTATATATATACATATAAAATATTATATATATACATATAAAATGTAAGGATTAGTTATCAGTTTAGAAATTAGAGATTCACCATGCTGTCCAGCTTCTGATTTCTGTCCAGGTTTATGTTTTAGTTTATGAAGAGGTTTCACATCAGGAGCTTCAGAACTCTTTCCTTCCTAAACATTCAGAGTTTATCAATAGGTTTTATATCAGGAACTTAAGAACTCTTTCCTTCCTAGACATTCAGAGTTTATCAATAGGTTTTATATCAGGAGCTTAAGAATTCTTTCCTTTCTAAAGAAACAGAGTTTATGAATAGGTTTTATATCAGGAGCTTTTTTTCCTGAACAAACAGAGTTTATAAAGAGCTTTTATACCAGCTTCAGAACTATTTCATTCTTAAAATTTCAGAGGTTATAAAGAGGTTTTAAATCAGTAGCAACATTTCTTAACATTAATTCAGAGTTTATAAAGAGGTTTAATATCAGTAGCATCATTCCATAACATTCAGAGTATATAAAGTATTGTCAACCATTAATTATAGGCTCCGTGTAAAGTCGTCTTTAACTTAGATCCCCTCTCGGAGACACCCAAACCAAACAATTTTAACCCCCTTTGTTCTTTGTTCTCCCTGTCGGAGTCATAAACAACCTCGCATTGTGAATCTATTTTCAAAAAGTTAAACAAAGAATATTTTCATATCAAGAATTAGTGACTTTCGTTAATAATTAATTGCCATTTTAATTCAGAAGTTTAAAACGTCTTTTAGTACTGTCCAGTGTCCAACTATTGTTAACCCCTTAGTCATCGTAAGAATTTTTTCATTATAACATTTTGTACACGTTATCATATATGTAATTTCTTCAGGAAATAAAAAGAATTACTTAAGTGATCTCTAAAAGATTGAATTATAACTACTTGATTGATCTCTAAAAGATTAATAACTACTTGAGTGATCTCTTAAAAATCGATGATTACTTAAGTGATCTCTAAAAGATTTATAACTACTTAAGTGATCTCTAAAAGATTAATAACTACTTGTGTGACCTCTAAAAGATTAATAACTACTTGAGTGATCTCTAAACGATTAATGACTACTTGAGTGACATATAAAAGATTAATGACTACTTGAGTGATCTCTAAAAGATTAAAAACTACTTGGTTGATCTCTAAACGATTAATGACTACTTGAGTGATCTCTAAACGATTAATGACTACTTGAGTGACATATAAAAGATTAATGACTACTTGAGTGATCTCTAAAAGATTAAAAACTACTTGGTTGATCTCTAAACGATTAATGACTACTTGAGTGATCTCTAAACGGCTAATGACTGCTTGACTGACATCTAAAAGAATAATGACTAATTGAGAGATTTCTAAAAGATTCATGACTACTTGATAGATCTCATAACGGTCAATGATTAATATTTAAGTGATCTCTGAACAATGTATAACTTATTATTTGATCTCTCAACAATTAATTACTACTTGAGAGATCTCAAAACCGTAAATTACAACTTTAACGATCAATAAGTTCTTGAGTAACCTCTACGCCCTGAACGATTACCTGAAAGTCTATGAACTGTGCGACCCCCTTGAGCTCGACGATTTTCTCGTGGATCATGTCCAGGTACATGATGATGTTGTTGTCGTTTACAAAAGGACGCTTAGGCTCCTCCTATAAAAGAAGAAGATTATGATTTTAAAGGAATTGTGATCTTTAATTTATAGAGTGACAATTCTGATTTACACCGGCATTATTACAAGCTTTGTCTGATCAATAATAAATGATAAATACATGTTTTTCTCTTTAAAAATTTATTAATTTTATGTTTTAAAATTACTTGCGGATTTATACTACAGATACAAGAGAAAGAAATGAACACTTTAAAAGATCGAAAACAACAATATCGTCCACGTTTTTGAACAGATAAAATTTTAAAGAAATGACAGGGATCATCTGACATGGCCCTCTTTAAAGGGAGTGTTCGCGAAAAATGAAAGGGGGTATAGGCTTAATGCGATAAAAAGCGCTTTTGATTGCTACTAATCTTACTTCTATCTGTTGCGTCTATAAAGAGAAAATTGTTAAAAACGACTAATACCGAAGAAAGTAGTGTCCATGCAAATTCAGAAAGATGCAACATACGTCTTAGACCGTAAAAAATCTATTTAATTTCAAACAAATCATTCAGATATTACAACCTATGTTCATCGATTATCTTTCGCCACATTTTTATATAGTTGATTTTTCATAATATGTTTTGATTTTATTTTTTTAAATAATATTTAGCTTGCAACTTGTTTTCGAACATTCCGAGAAAATATGAAAATATCGTCTTCATTACCAAATATTCCCGAAACAGGAAAAAATGGTTTTATAAGTAACTCTCAGATCATAACAATTAAAACATAAACAAAAAATAAGACTTCAGAGACGGTTTTACAGATTTTGTCTAGATTTTCTCTTTTAACAGAACTGATTAATCGCCTCGAACTACGATTTTCTAAACCATAAATCTTTACAACCTGGGTTATCATAATTCATAGTTTAAAATATCAAAGATTTACGAGAATAGATTTCAAAGATATAATGATTAGAAAATTAGAATACGAGGGATGGAAAAACTTTTAAAACTAATCCTGACCTTAGCATCTCCCAGCAGAGACAATACTGGTGTACTTCCACAATCACATTTAATGTACAGATCTTCTGTCCCTGTTTTCAACTTGACCAGGACGGATTCCATGAGATCTAGTTTGGTCTCCGTCTTATCCGCTTCATGCTCGCTATCCTCCAGTTTCTTCTCCATATCCCGCACCTTCTCCTGCTGCTGGCGCTCCTTCTCCTCCCCCCTCTCCCTAGCTTCCTTGATATCCTGCTTCAGCTTGAGGATGGAGTCCTGGAGGGTCTCCACCTGGTTGTTCATCTCTGTCACGTAGTTGAACAACGCAAAGTTGGCGTCCTCAATCCTCACAAAATCACTGGTGATCTTTTCCAAGCTCGCGTCCGTTCCGACAATGTTTTTAATCTGCTCAAATGCTTCTTTGTACTTGGAGACGTTCTCTTTGTCCTTGGCTTCCTCCAGCTTCTTGTTCTTCCCCTTGTCGTCCTCCCCGAAGTCGCTTGCGAAGGCCCTGTCATTGCTCTTGTGGAAGAGGAAGTCCTTGAGTTTCTCGTCATGGTCCAGGGTTCGCTGGAGCTCCTTCATTTCCTCGGTAAAATTTCGCGCATCTTTATCGTTCTTCTCCTGTTAAAAAACTAAAATCAATTTTTATTAGAAAAAAAAATTATCATGAAATATAATAACTTTCCTTCATTGCAACGATCTTGCTCTGTGCTTCATCTCTCTGATCATAGGCCTGGATCGCTAGCTCAGTTAGATCAGCGATCGTCTTCTTGTTTCCAGCAATCTTTTTCTGAAGCTTGGAGATCATATCGTTGAACTGAGATCGTTCTCCGACCAGGTGATCTATTTCCTTTCTAAAAAATGGTGTCCTTACGGCATTTCTGCGTCAACATCATTAAATACCATTAGTTCTGGCATTTCCTAAATTTAGCTTGCCTTTTTTATTCTTTCTAAAATACTAGAGCTAAACAGAATTATGATTTTTATATAAATCATATAGATAAAATAAATTTTAAATGTACTGTTGCAAGCGTAATTTTAAAATCCTACATGCAAAGATGGCAATGCCCGATTCACGACGAACCTTTTCTCTTAAATAATGTGAAAGATATTGTCATTGGATCTGATGTGTTTAGATCTGATAATTCCTACATCTTTTCTTGCCGTAGAAATGCGCAAGTCACTTTTCAGAGAAATTACAATTAGAAATAATGAGTTTAAAAAATTATCAACATTTATATCATACTTGATGTGACAAAGCTTTAAGAGTTCCATTGTCACACAAATTTCACTAGATCATTCATTTGGCGTACCGTCCCGTTTTGCCTCATATAGTCAGTATTTGTACTGTACTGCTTGCCCTGGCTAGTTTCGGCCCGGTACATGAAATGAACTGGAATGGACCGTGTTGTGAATCGGGCATGGAGGGTCAATTGAAATTGCGCTCAACAGTTTCTTTTTAATAAAATCAAAATTGTCTTAATGGCTAATATCTGGTACATGTAAGGTACAACATGATGTTTAGTTTTCATGTTTAGTGGGCCACCCTGTATCAGGAAATTTAATTCAAAAAGGTTTTCAATGCTGATTTTTCCCGTCCAAGAATAGGATGTAATATTTGAAAATTGAGATTGACATCAGGGAAAAAGAAATAGATTTAGGTTTAGGATAAGAGAAAAGAGAATGTTAAGTATATGAGATAATATAGAAGGTTTAGGGTGAGAGAAAAGAGAAGGTTTAGGATAAAAAAGAGAAGGTTTAGTTTAAGATAAAAGGGAAGGTTTAGGATATGAGAATAGAAAAGGTTTAGGATTAGAGAAAAGACAAGGTTTAGGATGTGACAAAAAAGAAGGTTTAGGATAAGAGAAAAGAGAATGTTTAGGGAAAGAGAAAAGAGAAGATTTATGATAAGAGAATAGAGAAGGTTTAGGGTAAGAGAAAAAAAGAAGGTTTAGGGTAAGAGGAAAGAGAGGGTTTAGGATAAGAGAATAGAGAAGGTTTAGGGTAAGAGAAAAAAGAAGGTTTAGGCTAAGAAGAAAGAGAAGGTTTATGATAAGAGAATAGAGAAGGTAAAGGAAAAGAGAAAAAAGAAGGTTTAGGATAAGAGAAAAGAGAAGGTTTAGGATTAAGGAATAGAGTAGGTTTAGAGTAAGAAAAAAGAAGGTTTATGATAAGAGAAAAGAGAAGGTTTAGGATAAGAGAAAAGAGAGTGGTTAGGAAAAGATAAAAGAAATTGTTAAGAAAAAGAAAAAGAAGGTTAACAATATAAAAGGTTTGAGATGGAGAAGGTTTGAAGTTGAGAGATTTTATGATTGTATAGTGAATATATGGTTAAAGAAAAAGGTTTCAGTTAGAGAAAGCCGATATTTGGATATCTGGTTAAATGGATTTGTAGATATCTAGATATAGAAGAATACATAGGAATAGAGATAAATATAGATATGATTAGACTTGAATATGGATATTTGTATAATTGGATATCTAACTATCTAAATATCTGAACTTATGGATGATTGGATATCTGGGCTTTTGGTTATCAGTAATTCTGGATATCTGGATATCTCAATATCTGAATGTGGCGAATACCTAATAATAGTATTTTGTGCAAGCGTAGAGTTAAAGTTGATCATGACTCCGTCCAGACGGTTCTCTAGAAGCTGGATCTTCTGAGATACATCCCTCCTATCCCGTCCTGCCTAAATCAAGGATAAGGAGTTAAAGCTAATCATAACTCCGTGAGGAAGGTTCTCTATATAGAGCTGGATCTTCTGTGAAACATCCCTCCTATCCCGTCCTACCTAAACAAGCATATGAAGTTAAAGTTAATCATTACTCCGTCAAGACGGTTTTCTAGGAGCTGGATCTTCTTAGATACATCCCTCCTATCCCGTCCTGCCTAAACAAGCATATGGAGTTGAAGTTAATCATAACTCCGTCAAGAATGTTCTCTAGGAGCTGGATCTTCTGTGATACATCCCTCCTATCCCGTCCTGCCTAAACCAAGGTTAAGGAGTGTGAGGTAAATATATGCAAGAAAGACGGTAAATAAAAAGAACCAGAAACTAACTGATTGTTTTAGTATTACGATTAAGTACGGTGATAAACTGAGCCAGGAACTCTTGTATGTGGAGAACTTTTGATAATTTGCAAATTAATGTAATCTTTATTCGATTTCCCGCATGGTAATCGTATCCAGTCTGGGGTTGAAGGAATCCTTCTTTAAATCATAATTTGTCGCAAAGAATTTTTTAATTATGATAACTGATATATTTACAAAAATCAAAATTAAATCAATTATTTACATTTTAACAAACTTCTTAGCCAGTGGCATACATACATGGCTCACTACTGAGAAAATCATTGAAATATTTGTGCAAGCAAATCCCAGAAAATTGAAGTTTAAAAGAGTTGGTGAATATGTAGATGGAGTAAAATTCTATCTACAAATTTCAGAAGAAATTTCGTTTATTAGTGAAAATATGATTTTTTAATGATGCTGTGATTATTGATTTAGTTAGCTGTGATGGAGTTAAGTGATAAATTTATAAAGTTAAAAAGTTAAAGTTAGTTTTTCGAGCAAAGAAATAAATTTTAGACTCTATAAGGTTAGTAACACCCAAAAATGTAGTCTTTTTGGTTTATTTTTATGGTGTTAACTGACTTTTTGAACAAAACAATTCCATGGGGGGGGGGGGGGGCAAAAAAAAATTCTTCGCGCGAAATCCTGCCCCCCCCCCTGGCTAAAATCCTGTGTACGCGCCTGTTCTAAGCAAAATTTCTATAGTTAAAAAAGAATGATATGACAATACTATTTTGTGGTCATCATTGTATTTCATCATCGCAGTCTTTTCTGTATAGTGTTTTGAAAGCAATTGAATTTACCGGGCATGATTGTGGTCGTCCTCCCGACGCCATTTTTAACCTCTGACTTCCAATCTGCTTTTCTAATCTAAAGAAAAAATTGAGTCTAAGATATCATCGTTTTTCCATCTTAAAACGAGAAAAATTGTGTACATTTTCTTGCCTGTCTTTGCTGCGTATGTATTTCAGTTATTTTTACAGAGAAATAAAAAGAAAAGCCAGGATATTCTCATAAGTTTTGCACGGACAAAAGGTTTAAAGGCACCGGATATGTTAATTCTTTAATTTGAGACATTTTCAAATTACGTGAACAGCCCTTTATATAAATTGTCTTGATATGGTATTTTTCATCGATTTAAAATCTCCATTTTTGCGGAAAAAAATTCCTATGCTGACACAACTCTTAAAATAGAAACCACATGTTCATAAAATATAAAAAATCTTTTTTTCGTCTCATTCTCAATTATTTATTTAATTATTTCCTTAAATGAAGTGAACTTCAACAGGGTGAAAAAAATTATTTAATTTAATTTTGATTTTTACAAAGAGTTCAAATCAGTTGAAATTTTTGAGGAAAAAATGAAAAACCTGTCAAAATTTGCTATTTGAAAAAATCTTCAGGTTTGGGACGTATCTTCGACCTCATTCATAGAAATTGAAAAAATTGAAACATTTTTTATCGGATTCGAATTCCTAAATAAATCATTATTACTCAAAATTAAATTCTACATAAAAATGTAGATTAACATTTTTTAAAGGTTACCTCCTGATCTCTCGTTCTAGGTCGGACAGATGAATCTTCTCCTCATCAATGGCAAGGATCAGCTGTTCTTGTTCCTCTGCCAGGGCCGCCATCTTGTTTGCTTTCATGGCGTCCATCCGGTTGTTTCTGGTTAAAAGAATTACTAAAATGTGATCAAATAAGTGTTTTACTTCCCTAAAACTCGGTAAAAAAAAGCACAACACATTTATGAAAAGTTTAGGTTTAAAAGAGAGATATTCAAGTATTGTTTTCAGAAATGTCCTGCTCTGGAATAACAAAAATACCTGAGAGGCATTTTTAAGCTGTTTACAGGATTTAAGAGGTTATACCCTAAATGTATATTTCAAACCATCTTAAAGATCATATTTGAAATTTTTTAGTGATATTTTAAATATTTGGATATAAAAAAAAAAACATATAAAGGAACTGAGTTCTTGAAAAACTCTAATTCGTTAATCCCTATATCTTTGCAGCCTGATGATGTAAACCTTTGATATTTCAAACTTAGAGTATATGATCTAACAAAATTTATAATTTGAAATATCGAAGATCTCCGACATCGCGGGTTGCAAAGATATAGGGATTTGAAAATTAGAGTTTGGGGCAAAAACTCAATTCCTCAACAATTTTAACAATTTCTCACCTTGCAGATTTAGACATTCGAAGTAGTCTTGAAACCTCTTGTTTCTCTTTTTCAAGATCATTTAAGGTTTTCCGTTGACGTCTTAAAGGGACAATTATCAACACATGGGCTTTTTATTTTTAATTTATTTTTTACGTCTCTATTTTTTTATAATTTTGTTTTTACCTTCGAATATCATTTCTTTCGTAAATTTATCAAAAAATAACCAAAAATGTATCGCAAAGGAACTTATTTCCCCCCCAAACTAAAATTTTCTAATCCATCTTTACAACCTGATGGTGTAAACCTATGATATTTTAAACTTGACTATTTGACTATTTGATCTCACAGAATTCATATTTTGAAAATATCAAAGGACTATGATATAATGTTGCAAAGATATGAAGGATTAAAAAATCACAGGTTGTGGCCAAAACTCAATTCCTTCCCACCATGCAAAAATGCAAACTCCAATCGGTACTAGTATAAGCACGCCGACATTCAATCTATGCAGCTAGAATTTTTATAATAAGATGCTAAAATATCCGACCTACTAGTGTTTAAGCTATTAAATATTATGACAACTGCACAACTTATGCACAACTGCACAACTTTTGTAGGTCGGATGCACAACTTTTGAAAGTCGGATGGACAACTTGTGTAGGTCGGATGCACAAATTTTGTAGGTTGGTTGCACAAGTTTAGGTTTAGACAATTTCTGGGCCAAGCACTGTGGCTAGGGGGCCGAGCACTGCGGCCACATTTATCAAACTGATCAAGTGATTGACAATATGTGTACAATTAGGTTAGGTTAAGACAATTTCTGGACCGAGCGCTGCTGCTAAGACAGGCTAGGGGGACGAGCGGTGCGGCCACATTTATAAAAATGACCAAGTGATAGATAATATGTGGGAGTTAGGTTAGGTTAAGACAATATCTGGACTGAGTGCTGCGGCTAGGACAGGCTAGGGGGCCGAGCGCTGTGGCTACATTTATCAAAATGACAAAGTTATAGCCGATATGTGGGGATATGTTAGGTTAAGACTTTTATTGTGAATCCGACCTACAGAATTGAGTGCAATCAACTTAAGAAAGCTGTGCATCCGACCTACCAAAGTTGTGCATTCTACCTATCAAAATTGTGCTTCCGACCAACTAAAGTTGTGCATCCGACCTAACCTACTAAAGTTGTGCATCCGACCTACAAATGTTGTGCATCCGACCTACAAAAGAGTTGAGTAGGATACACAAACTTTTTTTCAATGAAGTCTGTATCCGACCTACAGTACATCGGACCAACAGCAGGTTGAAGCGCTACTGAAAGACCACGTGTGGGTAGGTCCGAAGTATCGTAGGACGGATTTATCGTTGAGCGAATGTAATACAATCATTTGCACTCGTTGCACTATTCTTCCAGGGTGTTCCCCCCAAACACAAGAACAGATAAGTCGAATATTTGTGTATGTTGTATAGATACCAAATCTACAAATTAAAAACTCTGGATGAATAGAATTTTTGACATTCTTAATCCCCTTAATTATAGGGCTAAAGTTTCTATACGTCATGGTTGCATTTCAAGAATTCGTTTTAAATTAACGAACCATCAAGGGAAGATAAGACGTTAAATCTAACAAACAAGCTTTGGATTCTCTTCATATATAACCTTTTTTTCTGGAAAAAATCGTTTTTTAAAAATATTATTTAAAACCTGAGTATTTTTTGAGCTTCGTCCTTATACGCCTCTTTGTCGCCCTCCATGATTCTTTAGTTAAAGATTAAATTAATTCAAAAACTTTAGAAGAAGAAAAAACAATTTCCGGAGAGAGATAATCTTTAAATTCTCTTTCACAGTTTCAAACTGTTACAAGAGTAGAATTAATTGAAGGAACGGAATATATTAGGGTAAACTTCTTTATCCTTAAGATAAGGATTTAAAATTTCAAATTAAACTTTGATCAGAATTCATAAAACAGTCATATTTTTTGAAGCAGAATGAAAGTCTTTATTGATAAGTTGTTTAACTAGAAATGTGAAGCCGGAGATTTTGTCAGTGTCAGAATGAAAGGAACTGTTTTATAATTTAAACTGGCTTTTCATTAAAGAGGAATATACCTGATTTACATCGATAAACTTTAAACCTGATCAACAATGTGGAAGATATCGTCGGTTTTTTAGCCTGAGTGTGTTTAGTACTTGTTTTGTTTTACTTCGTTGTTTTTGGATCTGAAATTCGCAGTCACTCTATATGTGTTAATCTGCAGATTAATTTAATCTTTTCTCGAAATCCCGCGCGTGAAGAGTGTCGTATGTGGTGAATGAACAACTCATCAGAAGCCAAAGAATATTGCGGTCAACAAATGAGAGAGGAGAAAAATTGCGGATATCCAAAATCAATAGATTAAGTAGATCCTGTGTAAATTAAAAAGTACCCTATGAACCTTATTTCCATCCGCCTAAATCTGTTGCATAAAACGGAATCTAAATCTGTTGCATAAAAAAAGGAATAGAAGGGAGATACAACTGACGCGGTTCGCCCTACCATATGATTATACATGCTTTGCAGACGAGTACTCCATTTGTGTAAGAAGTATTTGTCTGATATACATTTACTGCGTATACAATTACCTATTCTGAACATTTCATATACAAATGAAGTACTCGTCTGCAAAGCATGCATAATCATATGGTAGGGCGACCCGCGTCAGTTATATCTCCCTTCTATTCCATACTCTCTGGGTCAACTACATACTATTTAAACTAGACGGGCTGGTACGAGTAAACACTACACCACTCGGGTAGTGGTGAAAGATTAAAAAAGATTAAATTAATCTGCAGATTAACAAATATAAAGTGACTGCGAATTTCAGATCCAAAAACAGCGAAGTAAAACGAAACAAGTACTAAAAAAGCGTCGATATCTTCCACATTCTTGATCCTTTTTCTTGGGAATATTTCAACCTTTAAAATTATATGGTACTGTGGGTATATGGTACTGTGGGTATATGGTACTGTGGGTATATGGTCCTGTGGGTATATGGTACTGTGGGTATATGGTACTGTGGGTATATGGTACTGTGGGTATATGGTACTGTGGGCATAAAAAGTAAGCAGATCGGGATTATGGGTTTCCAACACCAAAGTTCCCAGCTAGGATGTAGTAGACCTATGTTCATAGAAAGATATTTTATCAATAAACATTTCATACACAGGAAATTTCATAGACATAGAATATTTTTCTGTCCATGCAATTTCCTATTTTTAAAATTCTATGAAATGTCCTCTCTATGAAATGTGCGATCTTTGAAATGTCCTCTCAATGAAATGTCCTATCTATGATTTTGTTATCTATTAAATGTCCATCGATGGTGCTACGAAATTTGCTCTATTTCCATTTGCTCTATGGTCATTTGCTCTAGTTCCATTTGATCTATCAAGTCATTTGCTCTATACGTCATTTGCTCTATATTCAATCTGCTCTATACCTCATTTGCTCTATGACTAAACACGTCATTTGCTCTATAACCTAAAAATACACTATAAAATAGCTTTTATTGGAATTCCTAAGCGTAACTTGACTATGAAAGGCGGGAATTTTTTTTTGGAAAATTCGCACATTGCAGTTTTAATCAGTTCTTCAAAGTTCATCATGACAGAGAGACTGCTCAATAATAAGAGAGGTAAAAAAGCCTAATATGTGATGAAAACTATATTTAAGGTCTCACACTATTCACAAATACCAGACAAACAAAACTATCTCCAGGAAGTTGGCGGAATAATGAAACTGAAGGAAGAACTGTAAAATGTAAAATTGTAAAAATATAGTTTTAATATGATTAGATATTTGTAAAATATGTTTATAGAGCAAATGACGTGTTAACTCATAGAGCAAATGTTGAGTAGAGCAATTTGACCATCACAGTCATAAAAATGTTTATAGAGCAAATGACGTGTTATGTCATAGATCAATTGACGTATAGAGCAGATGACATATAGAGCAAACGTCGTGATCTATGAGTTATAGAGCAAATGGTTAATAGAGCAAATGGAACTAGAGCAAATGGCAATAGAGCAAATGGAATTAGAGCAGATGTCTAATTAGAGTAGATGATTTACTCCAACACCTATAATTTAGATTCGAATGTTAAGTATTTTAATTAATTTAAATTTCCTAAACTGTCTGGTGAGGCGGAGTAGCTCCGCCTCCGCCATGAGATCTAGCTCAAGATCTTTCTCCTCGTCATTCTTCTTTTCCTCCTCGTCAACCGTCATTTTTACTGAAAATTAAATCGATTATTTGCATATTTTCAAAATGGCGTCAATTTGGAGCGTTCAATTCACCAAGTCATGTGCGGGATTTTGCTGAACAGTGTACACTGTACACGATCATATAATTCAGAATGGCAACCATAAAAACCCGCGTGGTTTTCTGTCGTTCACAAATACAAATCAATTCGGTTCCATGATGTCATTTGTAAAAAATTGTTCCTCAAAAGGTAAAATCAGTATTAAAAAAATATTTAAAAAACCATTAACCGTCAGAATTTTCATATTATAATCTAATACCTAATAATTAAATCTGTTTAAAATATGACATTGAAAGATAAATATCTTAAGTTTAAATGAAGTTTTGAAAATGATGCATGGTAGGATTTGTATTAAATTGTTCCGTGAGAAGATTTTCTAGTTAAATCTTGTTAAATTTTCAAAAGTTGAATTCTAAAGAAACAACTGTATTATTACAGAATATCTAAATATGTTAAGATCAAAGGATTAAAATTAATGAAGGAACAAGTTTACATTTGTAACAAAACTTTCTAGTTCTTCTAGATATTTTAGTTTCTTTACAACTCTAGTTTCTTTCTCTTGTTTCTTTAGTTTATCTTGCTCTAGATCTCTAGTTCCTTTCTCTTCTTTCTCTTGGTTCCTAAGTTTTTATAGTTTCTCTAGATCTCTAGTATCTTTCTCTTCTTTATCTTGGTTCCTAAGTTTTTATGGTTTCTCTAGATCTCTAGTTTCTTTCTCTTGTTTCTCTTGGTTCCTTAGTTTTTATAGTTTCTCTAGATTTCTAGTTTCTTTCTCTTGTTTTTCTTGGTTCCTAAGTTTTTATAGTTTCTCTAGATAGATCTCTAGTTTCTTTCTCTTGTTTCTCTTGGTTCCTAGGTTTTTATAGTTTCTCTAGATCTCAAGTTTCTTTCTCTTGTTCCTCCTGGTTCCATAGTTTTTATAGTTTCTCTAGATCTCTAGTTTCTTTTTCTTGTTTTTCTTGTTCCTAAGTTTTTATAGTTTCTCTAGATCTCTAGTTTCTTTCACTTGCTTCTCCTGGTTCCTAGTTTTTATAGTTTCTCTAGATCTCTAGTTTCTTCCTCTTCTTTCTCTTGTTTCCTTAGTTCATCTTGCTCTAGATCTCTAGTTTCTTTCTCTTGTTTCTCTTGGTTCCTAAGTTTTTATAGTTTCTCTAGATCTCTAGTTTCTTTCTCTTGTTTCTCTAGTTTCCTAAGTTTTTATAGTTTCTCTAGATAGATATTTAGTTTCTTTCTCTTGGTTCTCTTGGTTCCTAAGTTTTTATTGTTTCCCTAGATCTCAAGTTTCTTTCTCTTGTTCCTTGTGGTTTCAAAGTTTTTATAGTTTCTCTGGATCTTTTTACTCTTGCTCATCTAGTTCATCTTAATCGTTTGTTTTCTCTAGATCTTTTAATTCTTTCCTTAGTTAATTTAGATTTCCTGTTCCTCCTTGAGTTTCAACATGTCTGAAGTATATATACATTAACTCCCTTGGTAGATATTTACTTGACTCAGTTCCAATGTCTATACAATATATCATGTTCTATGAAGGGTCCCTGGAGATAGTGATTATATGAACCTTCCTTGATTTAATCTTATCTTATGACCCAATCCTATCCTAGCCTAGGGCCAGGGATGGAGAATATTCATCTTGAATTACAATAAAGATTTATATCACTGAGTAGTGAGTAGTGAGTATACACTGGTATCCTGGTAGAACTTCCAGCTGAGTATAATCCATTCCAAGCTTATTGATCAAACCTTCTCAACCAAACCCAATCCTATAAAGAATGTTCCCCTAAATCTTTCTAAAAGTATCTCAGGATGGAATAAATGAATTTTGTACAATTTTAGAGAGGTATATCCCCACCATTTCCTGTCAGATACCCCCCGGATAATCTTTTCTATCTTAGTAAGCTCCATTTTTGTACAAATTCATTATTCATTCTGAAGACGGGAGAAAAAAGATGGCGCTGAGAAGGAGTCCACGTGGAATAGAAAAGTCACGGAACCTCTTGCTCCAGCAGCTTGGGCAGACAGCTGTGAGTCAACGTGGGATGATTACATTGAATATTCGGGTTGTTTTATTTTCAGTGTGAGAAGCGGTAACTACAGCTCGATGGAGGTTTAGCCCACACCGGAGGGAGGCGAGGGATTGTTGTGAACCGGCCAAATTGGTGTAGACCGACTCCGATTAACGTCATAGTACCGCATACAAGGGACAGATGGCGTAAGCGGCAGGTTCAGGAATCCTCGAAAGTAAAGTCGGCGCGGAGCGGAGTCTTAGGACGGTAAGGGTTCTCTCTAGTGATACACGGACACGGAGAGGACTAGGAGAGAGTTAGGTACACAACCCAGTAATCCAGTCTAAGAGGATTAGTGATACACAGTTAAAACACACATACTACCCCTGCGTGAGAAAACAGGATTGGATAGTGGCAGAATCAGTGATTTAAGCTTATTACTGGAGAGATCAGTAATAAATTACATTATTATTTTTCATTTAAATCAATCATAAACCGTTCAGTTTCACACGTCTGCCCTCGGTGATGGATTTAACAGGACGTCATGAGAATTACAAAAAGATAGGATAAGAAAGAGAAGAAGGAGAAGGAAAATAAGTAAAAAAAGCAGCTTTACAATGATGCTAAATCCAGCAGCAGTAGCTGCTGCAGCTGCAGCAGCCAGGCATCCGGTAACTATTTAAAAAAATTATTATTATTGTTGTTATTATTATTATTAT